GAACCTAGCACACGAAACGGTTGTACGATATACAATAGAACCTAGTAGAACCTAGCACACGAAACGGTTGTACGATATCGAACCTAGCACACGAAACGGTTGTACGATATACAATAGAACCTAGTAGAACCTAGCACAAGAAACGGTTGTACGATTTAGAACCTAACACACGAAACGGTTGTACGATTTAGAACCTAGCACACGAAACGGTCGTACGGTTCAGAACCTAGCACGCGCAACGGTTGTACGGTTTAGAACCTAGCACTGTTGCGGAAGAGCTTCCAACATATATAGGCCATCCGTCAATTTTTGACGCGATAGCGATAATAAAAACTTTCTTGAATCTAGGAGTACAAAGTTTTATTGGGAGCTCCCAAAACCCGATGCGTTTCATGTCAGGGTAAACGTAAAGCCCTGAACGATGAGACCTTTTAAATTTGTTACAAACACTAACTCTACTACCCTTGTTAAACATCATTGAACCACAATACGAAAACGCACGAACAAACTGCGAGTAGCGAGTTAAACGCCTAATTTCGCAGTAAAAGAAATGGTCTCCAGGTGTATTCTCGACATGCGATAACTCATCGACTTCATGAAACCTCGGTTTCCACTCGTATAAGGTTTGTGCATCTCAATCTCTCCAGTCCATTGGGAAGTGTCTTATTCGAAGTTCTTCAAACCATAAGAGAGAATGTAATTAGTCATGGTGCCCACGTCCACCTGGAATAAGCATTAAATACACGAAGTAGCATAATGTTCTTATCCCCGAAGCTCCGCCGCACAATGAAAAATTATGGGCATTTATATCAGCAATTATCCTATGCATTTCAACACGCTGGAAATTGTGCAAACCAATCTAATACAAATCCAAGCTGATGGTATCGACATTTCGTACCGACATTATATATGCTCTCGAGGCTTACACGCCACTCATAGAGCCACTCAATTACTCAATAATCTTCCAAAATTCACGCGCCTTGAGATCGCAGTCACCCCCAACACTGATCATTAAAAAGACCCAGGACGAATGCGAAACACTCTACTCGTTACCAGCGTGAACCTGGACAACCAAAAGACGAACGTATAGCGCAGCTACAGCACACGAAACTGTGGTACGGTTTAGAACCTAGCACACGAAACGGTTGTACGGTTTAGAACCTAGCACACGAAACGGTTGTACGGTTTAGAAGCTAGCACACGAAACGTTGTACGGTTTCTCTCAATCTCAGAACTTTTCAGAGCGCAGAACATCGTCGCGTCGGACTTTTATAACCGCATTGAGAAAAATTGCATTTCCACAAATCTCTCCCCAGCCGTTGTGATGTGCCATATAAATCTAATTTATTCTACCAGGGGCCACGGCTATAAACTAAAAAAACTGCGTTGTAACACATCCATGCGACAACATTTCTTCTCGCTTCGACTCACCGACATGCGGAACAGCCTCCCTGATAGCATTGTTGACGCTCCTAGTATGAACGCCTTCAAGAACAGACTAGACGAAGCTATGCAGGAGCATATGTCCAGTCTTAAAATGCCTAGCAAATTACGGACCAGGCAATAAGTCCAGCAGCTATCTCAATCAAACGTCAGTTATGGAAAGATCGGGTCGCCTGCCGAAGACCACCACTGCCCTGGATGTAATGGACCATCATGATTCCTGCCTTCCGGAACGTAGCCTTCAACACTTCAAGCCGTCCGTATCTAGGCCGTGGGTCGAACCAGCCCTCGGTCGAACGGCCACTTGTCGCAGGACGATAATGGAAGGGATCGTGTTGTGACAAGACTGCCACTACAGGGAAGGGATCGTGTTGTAGCAAGACTGCCACTACAGGGAAGGGATCGTGTTGTGACAAGACTGCCACTAAGGGAACTGATTTTGTTGTTTCATGATGGCACACCTCAGAACTGATTTTGTTGTTTCATGATGGCACACCTCAGATGGGACTTCTGACATGTGCCTTTACTCGTCAGATGTCCTATTGGAATTCACCTTTCTAGAGACATTGATCCTGGGCGCCCCACCACAGAGTTTGCGATACATGACTGTGGGTCTCAGTTGTGGGTTTGTTGTCACGTATGCAGGATTACTAACATTTCTCTATCTCTCTCGAGCGGGCGGCCGACGTCTCGTGTGAGCGGCCTAATGTATGGGTGTCTTGGTTCCTGTTTCTGTTCACCTGTCCGGTCTTATATTTTTTGTCTCTTTGATATACTAACTCAGTTTTTTTTCTGGCCAGCCTTTGCTGCCTGGCCACTTGAGACCTCCTGCCTCATTTGGGTTTATGAACGATTTGTGTAATTTGCGATAATACCTGCTTTATTTTCAACTTCTTGGATGAAATAGCTTAATAACTGAAGTTTTTTTAAACATTCTACCTCTACCGTCAAACAGGGTAATAAGGGACGGGCTGGGTAATAAGGGACAGTCCTCCAACATTTTGTAGAAATGTTGTAGCAGCTAAACTAATTAAAATATTGCAAAACTAAAAATAGTGGTGTAAAGTTCAACATTTTTACTATCTATGTAGCATAAAGCAAGTTAAGAAATCAGACATTTATTACCTCTAAAAAATCCTTGAAAAAAATGTGAAAAGTGAGATTTTGGAAAAGTGCCTCTACTAAGGTCTGTGCAATAAAAATTTTTGTTGTATTAAAAAGTTTTACTTACATAAAAGTTGCACACAGGTGTTGGCGACGTGATTGACAGAATTTTCATATCTCGTTCCAAAAAAAATGGCAGCCATTTCTGCAAAACGGTATAATAAGGGACACCTCTAAAAACGCATTTAAAGTAGAATCTTGGTTTGCAAATACTCCAGTTAACAAAAAAATCATTTAACAACAAAGAATTTTGATTACATTTAACTCGCTCGGTGAAAAAAATTTCACTTAACAAAAAATTAATGCATCATCAAGTCATCACAAAATTGTGCATAGAATGTCATAGATAGAATTGAGCACTGGGCTGCGAAGAATGAAAAGTAAGTAACCTAAACTATGATTTATTTCTCCAAAAATATGATGGTTGTCACTATAATATTCCTTCCTGTTTCAGGTGTGTTTTTACAATCTTTTTTGTTATAGTGAAATTACTTGACTCGATTAAAATTGTGCGAAAATCAAGCCGTCCTGTAAGCTTACAGATACAGAATAAACGCTACATGGCTACTGATATGAAGCTTGCAGTAGACGAGGTTGTTGTAAATGCTCAATGGCATGTCCATGGATATGGTAATATCACATCAATAATACTATGATGTATGTATACGGTAATATATCAATAAAGAAAAAAACAAGTAAATGTCACAGTAAATGTCATTTATTCTACATTTCTTTCATCTACAAAAGAAGAGGAGGACTTCAGAGTACTGTTAGTAATGGATGAGTACACTCGGCAGACTTTTATGTTGCGGCAGGCTTTTATATTGCATCCAGTACCTTACAAATAGCATATGGAATTTTTTTGGAGACGCCATATGATAGCCCTTGCCAAGAACTTTAAAATGAGCGCAAACTCGTTCATGAAATGTTTCATGGTAAGGAGTTATTAACAAAAAAACGCTCAAAACCGTCCCTTATTATCCTGTTTGACAGTACTTTTTCAAGAATTGCATTCATTTGTTGAAGTTCATGATTATGATCTTTTCCTTGATCTTTTTTTCATCTGTTATAAATAAGGCAAGGTTTGGACTCGAGTGTTCTTGTAGTAGACTATTTCATACACTCTTTCTCCCATATGTTTGCTTGACACCTAGGTTGCATTGTTTCGTAATAATAGAGTGTGTGTTGGCATAGCCATGTTTGCTCTGTATTTCAGCAACACTTTTGTTGCAATTTTTAAAATTGATAGTGTGTGTTGGCATAGCCACGTTTGCTCTGCATTTCAGCAACAATTTTGTTGCATCCTTTAGACTTGATAGTGTGTGTTGGCATAGCTACGTTTGCTCTGCATTACAGCAACACTTTTGTTGCAATTTTTAAAATTGATAGTGTGTGTTGGCATAGCCACGTTTGCTCTGCATTTCAGCAACACTTTTGTTGCAATTTTTTTACCGTTGTCAGCACCGTTATCGTTGTCTGCTCCTATACCGTTGTCAGCACCGTTATCGTTGTCAGCTCCTTTACCGTTGTCAGCACCCTTATCGTTGTCAGCTCCTATACCGTTGTCAGCACCGCTATCGTTGTCTGCTCCTATACCGTTGTCAACACCGCTATCGTTGTCAGCGCCTATACCGCTGTCAGCACCGTTATCGTTGTCAGAACCTATACCGTTGTCAGCACCGTTATCGTTGTCAGCTCCCATACCGTTGTCAGCACCGTTATCGTTGTCAGCTCCCATATATTATTAGGTTTGAGTTACAACAGTTGAGCAGCGTCGTAATTTATCGCCCATTATATACATTCATGTAATCTTGATGATCAACACTCCATTTGTTGGTCATTTCCTGGTCATCAATCGAGGCAAAACTCTTGCCTATTTTCCCTGTGGCATTTTATTTGCGTTCTCTCTAATACGACCTGAGTATTTTATCATTTAGCGATATGCTCAGTATTTTGCTCAGTTTTTCTTTAGTCTGTGTTGATCTGCTTTAAAAAACTTTACGTTTCGTTAGTGTTTTTCTTAAGTTGATCTTCTGATAGTTTTGGGCTTCTGCTTGAGGAGAGTTGTGTTTCTCCTATGCTATGAACTTCTGCACAATTTTATGGATGAAAATTGTTCTATTTGCTGAAAAAATTTACATGTTCAATTTGAAGAATAAGAAAAATTTGCTTCCGACTTTCAATTAATGATTGAATATTTTTTTTCAGGGCAGATTCAACAGGGCAGGTTCGAACGAATTGTTGCGAGACTTGAGGCAATGCAAATGCCTGGAGGTGTTGCGGCTGGGCAGAATAACGCATCTTAACTTCGCTCTTCTACGGAAGTTGCAAGCTCCTCTGAGAGAGCTCTCTATCCGCAACGTTCAAACGTTATCAAACACTGGACCAAGCAATACCTTTGAAGACTTCCCTTTCAACTCTACCCTCACGACATACCGCTTGTTCAACGTATTGCACCCAGATGTGTAAGAGTCAAATGCCGTTATACAGGTTTCAGTAAATATGGACCGAAGAAAAGCAGGTTACAGGGAAGAAACGTTAGAGTAAAAAAAGTTTAGAGGGAAAATAGGTTAGAGGAACTAACATGTTGAATGAACGTAACTAATGGTTGGCTTGATGAAATTTCAATTATTGATGCTCCTCATGAGCGACTGGGATGATGATGAAGCTCGCTGTTTAAACTGAATATATTACATTATGGATTGAATAAGTAGAGCAAGTTTGGTCTGAATGCAACTTCTATCTTTAATTAGATGTGTAATCGTTATAATGCACTATGGCAGTTTCTCTGACAACAAATTTTAATGTATCTCATGAAGGGATTGATTGTTAAAATGAGGCAAATGATTTTTAATTTTTCATATCATTGCAGCGATAAGTGGCAGAAATGTTTGTGAAATACGCATCACTACTAATGGAGCCATTGCTCATTGTAGACCTTTCTAAGCATCTTTTAGTTATGTTAAAAATCTTTTAAATGCATCATTTCTAAATTAACTTGAATATCTTCTTAGTATATATTAGTTCATGTCTCAAAATTGTCCCTTGCTTTTGAAGTTGGATAAACTCGAATCAAGCATTCAATTCTCGCGGGTAAATCAACACGAAATTGTTTGAATGACCTTTCGTAGAATTGACGTGCATGTCTCATCATCACATACAAATATCTGAGTTGCATATAGTAAGAACGAGACTTCCATCCGAAGTTGAGTAATATTACTTGTTTAATTTCTTGCATTAAGTCCATAAATCTTACATTTGGTGTTTGCTGTGCTTGGCGTGCAGGGAAGCTTGGCTGCAGGCGGGTGAACTCCTCGCCATGGCATGCAAGTGTCCTGCGCTGACCCAACTCCAGCTTGATTTCCACGCTTTTGCAGAGCCTCCCAATTTCAAGACATTCAATAACTTGAAGGTAGAAAAATGTTGCAAGCTTTCGATAATTCATCTTTAGAGACTCAGGATAAGACTACCAACTTGTACGTGTGTACATAGATTTGTTTGATCACTCGATCGTAATCCCGAATCCGAATAAAATATTCCTGTGATGTAATTGTTGGTTTATTCTTTTGATGTTTTATTTGGTGGCAAAATGGCTTTTTGTTGTCGCAGGTGCTACATTTTATGCTTTATGACGACGACAAGGATGAAATTGAGGTTCTTCTCAAAAGCGCTCTGCCTGACATCGAGGACCTCTACATCGAGTTTTACCCAGTAGAAGAAGTTCATGACGTGAGTTGCGAGTCCAAATTACAAATGAATCAAGTTAAGGACCTTCAGTTGGAAACCTTGCTGATATTTTCTATCAACTATATTCACTGTCGTTGAAGATTTCAGAGTTCTCAACTTCATGGTTTGCCACTCAGACTTTTTTTCATATGCACCTGTTCTAACTTTGATTTTCAGTTTGTATGTGATATATGAAGAAATATTTTTTGTTTAAACCATTAGTTTTCAAGGTGTAGAGGCAGGGGCTGCTATCTGCTCAACATCTCTATTAAAATTCTAAAAGCTGGCATACAGTTTGTCTGGGACGGAAAATTTCAGGGGTGAACCTGACCTTATTTTAGGGAATCTTAATCTTAATAATTTAGCATATCCTCGCTCGAGGACGTGTGAAGAAGTCTTGAAAATATCTTAGTATGCAAGTTAGTTTCTTTATGATTTCGGAATGATGAAGTGTTCATTGGACATATCAACTATTTTTGGATAGCATGAATTATCAATTTCTATGACAGTAATCCCACATTTTCAGGCCTGTTTTACTAGAATGAAAATATAAAATATATAATTTTCATTATTTACTTAATCATCGGCACCTTAGAAAAGTATGTCACAAATAAAATTCATTTCACGCAAACATCGCTGCTTTGCTTGGGACAGTGAAATGTTTCGTGTTAGGAAGACGGTATTTTATAAATTTTCTTTGTTGCACGTGTTACGAATCTTAGCTTGATGAAGGGCTGATGTTATTTAACTCCCTTTGGAATATTTTAGATGCCCATCTGAATATTACGCTCACGACATAGCGAATTGAATAATTAGTTTGACTACGAGTTGATTGTTTTCCATTTTTATCTTTTGAAAATAGTTATATTTCTCCTTAGATGAACGCTGCAAATGAAGTGCTCTGATTAACGTAAGTTATTCAAGAGCCTAATATATTCACGTTGTTTAATCAGAATTATTACTCTTTCAGTTTTACGTTTCGTTACGGTTCCAGATATTCATTTTTTATCATATGCCAGGTTGATTGAGTCGGAATGGTTCATTGTGGCACGTTTGAAAAGGTTCTCGACTGGCCAATGACGATTGAAACAGGAGGATAGAAATGACACGTGGAAGTATCTCAACCGTAACGCAACGTAAAACTGAAAGAGTAATAACTCTGATTAAACAACGTGAATATATTAGGGTCTTAAAAACTCACGTTAATCAAGTGGTGTCGGGTGTGGGGTTGGAAATTTTGAGGTTTTCTGGAACTCGATGTATGGAAGATTCTCTGAAGGCCGTCGGATTTCTCTCCAATTCTCTGAAGGGGCGTCGTGACTTGGTGTTCGCGGTTACCTTCGGTCCGTCTCTCGTACGTAATCCCGTCTAATTCTCGGGCTAATCGGTTCACTCGTTAATATTTTTGCGTCGATAGATCTCGTAGCGTGGCTATCAATTCTCGGGGTAATCGGTTCACTCGGTAATAATCTTGCGTAGTTAGATCTCGTAGCGTGGCTATCAATTTACGGGGTAATCGGTTCACTCGTGGGATCCAATGACGTTCCAACACTGCTCCGACCTTCGTTTGGTCGCGTCACCCAACAGAGACAAGTACCGCGACCTCTCGCTAGGCCGGCTGCCGCGGAACTGGCTTTCGCGGTACGCCGCGCTACTTATATACGCCCCGCAAGCTGCCACGTAGCGTCGCTTGGTATTCTACTCTAAGTTTTTCTCCCCCATGAAGAGGAGCAACCACGTCGCTCTTTATCTTTTTCTCGACTTTACATAAGCTATGTTCAATATTATGACATAAATTAAAGTGAGAATTACCTTCGCTTCATTCTTAGTCATTCGTAATTTCTGTTATTCAGCTCACCGTAGACTTTTCACTTGCACCGACGTCGGTGAAGTCCCTAATGCTGCCTTCTGTCGCACTGGACGATGACTCGTACAAGTGCCTCCTGCGGATGCCCAAGCTGCAGCGAGTCTTCGTCAAAAACAAGAAATTCTCTCTGGCTCAGCTGAAACTGTGAGTACATCTCAGGTCCTTGCATATTTGTGTGAACTCGAGTGCCGGAGTGGTTAGTTTGTTAGCTGACACGTTTTTCGTTGTTCATTCAAATGAGATGAGTGATCGATAGACATTTCCTTCCCACGCACACACACAGAATTATAAAACGTTGATCTTCAAATTAAAATTCTTGGTGTATAAATTGAAATTGACCAGGCGATGGAAGGATTTTATTATGTGCATATATTTCATAAAAAAATTGTAACATACAATACATGTTTCCCGCACACTCCATTGCTGTTACTTGAAATATAAATTCTAGATTTTCAGATTTATTAGATTTTTATTAATTTTCTAGTAACTATTTTGTAGTCTTTTAAAATTACTCATTCAGATCACGCCAAAAATTCATTTCATCTCCCAGTCGCGGTTCGTTCTACTATCACACAAGCTACTTGAGTGTTTTTATCTTGTCCAGATAAAGTTGTCCCCTACTAACTTGTATCCCCACACTCTTCTAATGTTGCCCGCCTGTGACAATCTTTACCTGGCCGGTAACCGCCGTATTATTGCCTCGGATAACCTCCCTAAATGTGTGGTGCCCTGCAGGCTCTACTTTCCTGCTAGCTACTTTTGTACAGTTGTCATGTCCACATGAAGCTGTCATGTCCACATGAAGGTGTCATGTCCACATGAAGGTGTCATGTCCACATGAAGGTGTCATGTCCACATGAAGGTGTCATGTCCACATGAAGTTGTCATGTCCACACGAAGTTGTCATGTCCACATGAAGTTGTCATGTCCACATGAAGTTGTCATGTTCACATGAAGTTGTCATGTCCACATGAAGGTGGCATGTCCACATGAAGGTGTCATGTCCACATGAAGGTGTCATGTCCACATGAAGCTGTCACTCTCGTAACTGTGTTCCCATACTCGTTTAACTCCTAGCCAGTACCCGCCGTGCCGCTACCGTAGACCAGCTCCCTAATGCGTGTTGCCCTGCAGACTCGTGGCCCACGTTCAGCTGGTCGAGATCGGCGCCGCGATGGTGACCGTGGATCTCGCCACGGCGCAGGAGCTCACTGCGCTGCGCAGGAAGGCGCTGGCCGAGGGCAGGTTCAGGTTCCCCTCACTGTATCTCGACCACGACGAGCCCCTCGTACTGCATGTCAACTACACTCACCACGTGACCTTCGCAAATCCTCTCATCAAAATCAAAGGTTTGCTCTCACACGTTTTCCTGTTACTGGAGCATTTCAAGTGAATTGTCTCGACTTTTTTTGGATAAGTCATGATCAATTGATATTTGATGCGATCCGTTTAAGAGCTTCGTTCTTTGCTGTTGATCTGACATGTTTTTCATTTAACAATGAGTTTTCTTCCGCATCCCTTTGTTAAATATTGTACATAGTGCAGACTAGCTCCATTGTGCTGAATTTCTTTGGTTCTCCCAAGCGTGCATTTCTCCTTACTATGCTGCCTTTTAGGCTCATAATTTATTGCAAAGCATGAATCGCATGCAGGAAATAACACTACAACTGAATGGCCCTGAATTTGTTGTGTCGTTCTGATGTGCATGAACGTATTTTTGTTTAAGACCACAAGCTGGACTCGTACATCTACGAGCGCGTCGGGTCGCGTCGCTTGGACAACGAGTGGCTGGGCTTCGGCTACGATTTCTTCCAGCACGGGTTTGGCAAACTGCTCCTGGGCTCTGACCCTGATGACGTGGACGAATGGTACGACGACTACGTTGAACTTGACGAACACACCTCCAGCTCCGACTCCGACGAATATGGTGGGGACGAACGCCTGGCTTTATGATGATCAACTCGATGAAGTCTTATATACGTTCTTGGTCCTAAGAAATTTAACTTTTGTAAGAAATTCACAGCTTCAAATTTATAGTTTTTTGAGTAGTTATTTCATCATAGCTTCTCTTTTTGAAGCAGCCATGGATGAAGCTCAGCTCTAGAACCGAAACGTTATTCTATCTCACTCAATTCCCATCGAATCGAGAATATTTTTATCTGGAACGTGTAAATATGAGTATATATGACGTTACTGAATGAATTCTTATCAAATCATGATAATTTCTGAAACATAAAATGTACACCGAGTTGTTGCCAGTGCTAATGCTTCAACGTGAATATTGAATTGATATTTTATGCATTTAATTTTCGTATTATAATTCCAGTCGTGTACAGATTCTAATAGCCTGAATTCTTATTGCATCCTTATTGCAAGTCTTTCCCAAAATTCGGGTTCCTGATTTCCAACTTCAACTTACCCTGCAGAGGAAGATATGCTCTAGGGCGGCCATCGTGAACACTGAGCCTATGCTGGCTTGTGCTGCAGTTCTGTGATACGACGAGTGCAGCTGACCAGGTCTGCTCCGCGGCGTCCAAGCAATCTAGTCTTCTCATTGTTCTGTTGTTCATGCCAAAATGGCGTCACTGAAGCGAGAGTCAGATGTTTTCTAGTTGTTACGTTCAAAATAATAGTTAAGTTAAGAAATTTGTAGGCTATGGCTCTATGTTCGAATAAGGAGAAAGTTCAGTTGAAAATAGGGAAAAATTTAGTTTGATGCTTTATATTTCAAAACCGACTTGTAGTATAACATGTCGCTGAACTATTTATGTAATTCAAGACTCGTTCGATTCATATCAGTTGATAATTGGAAAAACTCGTAAGTGTCAATGGGCATAAATACATCAGAACAGCCTCAGTTACGGCGGTAATTGTCAGCAAGTTACGCCAAAAGTCAGTAAGTAATAACAAGTGCCAGCAAGTCAAAAAAGTATCAGCAAGCCACGGCAAGTGTCAACAAGTTATAATAAGTTTCAGCAAGTCACGAGTGTCAGCAAGTCACGACTAGTACCGCCAAGACATGCCAAGTGTCAGTAAGTAACGGAAAGTGTCAGTAAGTAACGGCAAGTGTCAGAAAGTTATAGTCCACAATAGTCAGTCCACTTGTGACTTGCTTGAAGTCCACTTGCTTCTTGAAGCCTGAATGCCGCTCCATAGGTACATCATCAGCCATATTTTTTAAAGCTATCATAAGAGCGCTGGAACACTTCGGGGCAGTGACAGCGGCACTCAAGCTGTTGGGTGTAAGGCTGTAGCAGGAAGAGCTTTTCTAAAGGTTCCTGATAGCGAGATACAGCCGTCAACTAACTGGTCTGTTGTTATATGCGAAGCTTTTTTTTGTAGTGTCTTTCTCCTAAGTTTTAAAAACAAATGTGATCAGGGAATGTTGATGTCACTACAATCAAAAGGTTGTTTCTTTAAAGATTTTATGATTCATCGAAAAAAAGCCATCGATGACAACGTTAAAAAGTTCTTCCATAATTTCTAATAAGCTCTAGCATTGTGCCTTTTGTTTCAATAAATATGAGTTAATCCATAATAGGAACTAAACTTTTACTTATTATTAACGTCATTCGTGGCCTGAGTTATCTTTAAACTTCATACCCAAGGTCGATAAGGCTTTGTATATATTTTATATTGCATTTTCCTGGTTTGTTCGGCATGGAAGTTCGTGTATTTGAAGGGCTCCTCCATACTATGGGGTAGTGACGTTGAGGAATATACCGTAGTTGTTTCAAATGTTAAACATAAGGCTTTGTTCTCAGCAACGACTGGCGTGTTTTTCTCTCTTTTCCTGAAATGGAGACTTTTATATTGAACAAACATTGTGATCTCCGCATTCTACCTGAGCATCACGTAACATGTGCATCGGAAGATTTACTTTACTTTTGTATTGGCGCATCCATTATTGTTTACATTTATTCAATAAACATGACGGAATTCAAAATTTTATTTGACCACACCCCAGACCGACTGTGGCAACGCTAGCGGGAACAATTCTCGATCAGTCGGGGCTTAGCGGTTGTCTCGGCGGAGCGAGGTTGCTGTTCTGCTTCAAAAAGTCTACAGGGTGGAATTCGTGTATGAAGCGTCCTATGTTAATCAAAATTTATGACACATTAAAATCGAAACCACTCATAAACTGTAAACGTTCATAAATAAATCGGAACAACCTCGATTACAGCGGCGAGCGTCAGCAAGTCACGATCAGGAAAGCGCACCTGTTACTCTGTAGGAAGAAGGTACCGCTTTGATTAATTGAGAATATCGAGCGGATTCATTAATACGAGTTTTTTTTTTTTTGGGACCATCAAGTTGAGCAGCTGATTCACGTTCTTGGCCATGCGGTTGGATGGTCAAGTGGTTACAGTTCAGAGTACTGAAATTGGAGCACTAAGTTGTGGGTTCGATCCCAGCTACTTGTTTTAGTTCTGGTCAAACACGGTTAGGTTGCAGGGAGGTCAAGCAGGGTAAACCGGAGCAGTTAGTAGCGTGCTCGAGACCGCAACAAGAATGAATATTCCGAAATTTCAGAATAAGCGGCAGGTTTAATGGCCTGACTTATTAGCAATTTAAATTAGCGATCAACGCTGACCCTGCTATTATTATTACTATGATGGAGATTCGACTTAGATAATTGAGTGATCTATGTTCTTAATAGCGATGCACTTCATTTGCCCATGTGTAGGTCATTCTGGTACAGTTCTGGGAAAGGGTAAGTCCGAGCTCCGGACAGAAAGTGGTTCACTATTTGCAAAATATAACCCATTCGTTTTTTTATTGTCGTTTCTGTCCTTTATCAAAGTTGCTATATTCCAAGCGATTCCCTAAATCAATCAGCATTATACATTTCTGAAATTGATTAGGTTTTGGATTCATCAAAAAATGTGAATACTTTTGGATTATTTACAGGCTTGGTTTGCTTGGCTTGGTTTTCCGTCATCATTGCTGAAAAACTGTTAATAATTTTTAAAGTTATTTCTAGATTTACAAATGGTTTCTTTATTTATCTATTATGTCATGATTTTACACCAAACGCTATAAATATTTCTCATTTCTACTGGTGATTTTGTCCATTTTTCTCGATTTTCAACCGTGATTCATTTTTTGATTTAACGGTTTTCGTATAGGTTATTATGAGGTAACATCGCTAAACTGAAGATGAATAAAAGTGAAGGGAATTTAAACAAATTAAAAGCGTACGAATGTGAACATATTAAACTTTTAATGAATAAATTCAACGCAAGAAACGTCTCTAATGAGACAATTATAAAATGTTTGCTATATAATTGATAACTTTGTATATACAAATTAATTCGAAAACTAACAGTAACAATACATTGTGAGGTATGAATGGATTAACTTTTATTAGAACAGTTATTCAGGATATATACATTTTCTCTCCATTTAATATCCATAATAATATTATTCATTACGTAAAATACAATGAAATTGATTAAGGCCGCTTGAAGGCTATTGGATATATTATTTAAAATTCTTAAGATAATATCCGTGATTGATGATATATCGTGATACAATGAAATAATTAGAATATTTATTAAAAACACAATAAATGACAGATGTGAATGAATGTAGTCACAATAAATGATAGGAGATGTTAAAACTCTCAATAATAATTATAATGTAAGCTGCGGTAATGTCATCATATAGTTGATGAAACGAGCATATTATGTAAGAAGATAAGTAAAAAATGTCGCATTTTCTACCCATAATCATAAATGGACAAGATTTTTAATAGGATCTTTTGATGAAGCTTAATATTTACTTGGTTAAGGCAACGGTGAGTCATTGCTTTAGAGAACATGTATGGTGTACAATATTGTGCGCCATACATCTTATTTTCAACGGTTTATAATCATCGAATACAAATAGTTGTATGGTTATCATTAAAAAGATTAACTTTCTTGGCTAACAATTATATATAAATGGAAAGGCTATAATTTTTAAGTCCTCTAGTATTCATGAGGCAAATAAATTATTTCTTCAATAGCTGTTATCACTCAATGGTTGCAAAGTGTCTGTTACATCCACTGCGGTGGAAGATGTAGCAGGAGATGCAGGAGATGTAACAGTAGATGCAGGAGATGTAGCNCGTTAGGCGTGGGTGTTGGTCACGGGAGTAATGCGTTAGGCGTGGGTGTTGGTCACGGGAGTAATGCGTTAGGCGTGGGTGTTGGTCACGGGAGTAATGCGTTAGGCGTGGGTGTTGGTCACGGGAGTAATGCGTTAGGCGTGGGTGTTGGTCACGGGAGTAATGCGTTAGGCGTGGGTGTTGGTCACGGGAGTAATGCGTTAGGCGTGGGTGTTGGTCACGGGAGTAATGCGTTAGGCGTGGGTGTTGGTCACGGGAGTAGTGCGTTAACCGTGAGTGTTAGGTCGCGGAATGATCAAGACAGGGTGGAATCGATTGAGAATCAAAATAAATTAAATTATATCCTAGGACAAAAGTTTTTCGTTTTACCCTCCCGGATGTGGGTGTTCTAATGTTGAAAAAAAATCAGGTTTAAATTTTCCAAATTTTCAGGCTACCGACTTAAAAATTGTGTGGTTTTAGGGGACCGTCTCCCTCTTTTGAAAACTTTTTACAACACTTTACTTTTACTTTAACTTCACTTCTTGTTTGTCTGTTTGTCTGTCTGCTACAAATCTTGTAATCGAAATTTAATACACTTCTACTTATCCTATCGATCTGAAATTTTGTACACTTGCGTAAAGTTGAAGACAATGCATGAATCGAATGACAAAATAAATATTTTTATAAATAAAATTTTTTTTAATATTAAAAAAACTGAAAAAAATGTTCGTCAGCTACAAATCTTATAATTGATATTTGACACACTTTTACCTGTACAATTGATATGAAATTTTGCACACTTGTGTGAAGTTGGAGGCAATACATGAATCAATTGACATAATAAATAATTGTGAAAAAAATTTTATGTAATAAAGAAATTGAAAAATTAATTTTTTAATATATGAAAATAAAATTAAAAATTCATTGTACATCTGTAACATTGGAAACACTGGATTCTTTAGAAGTGTTGTCTTTAAAAAGTAATTTTTAAACGTATTTTATTCTTTTACGAACGGATCGTTTTGAAACTTGGTACACATATGTAAAACAGAAATATAAGAACTTTTTGGTGAGGTCAAATTTTCGAAAAAATGAAAGAAAACGTGAAATTCATAGAAAATGGCGAAAAAATCGGTTACTTTAAAAATCTATCTCCTCCTACAAATATCGTGCTACAACATCGAGACATATGTCATTCGATTTGTAACGATCATATCTAAAATCCAGCCGATCATTTTTTTTTTGAATATCGAATTTGTTTGGGAGGAGGGAAGGATTTTCCAAGATTTTCCCAAAAATTTCAAATTTTCCCCCCTCCGCCCCCCCCCCCTTTTTGCAAAATTTAATCCTAACTTTAACGAAATCGAAAACACTGACCGGATCGATTTTAGAGATTTTATTTACGAATCGAATGGTATATGTCTCATCGCTGTAGCTTCAAAACTCTAGGAGGAGATAGGTTTGCCGTGACAATAAGTGCGAATGTTCAGTAGAGCGCGACAAAGTCCCGCGTGCATCGCAATATGCACTCAATGAAGCAAGGATACAAAACTAAACGTTACTGCAGCTTGATTACAGTCAAGGATGGTAGGAACGACTGCATGCACACCTCCTCATACGATGCCAGGCGGGTAACTGAGCTGCAGCTGAAGCAGACACTTTATTTAAAGTGCTCGGCAGCTAATTTCCTCCTATTCTATTTGTTAAAGAACTCCCCCACACCATTACCTTTCATGATCTGTCGTGAACGCATAAATCAACGAACAGAGATGGTTTTGGTACCGTTGGATAGTTCAGAATGTCAGCTTTAAGATGAGACTAAAAACCGGAAGAGCCAAAATCCAAAATTTTAGGGTAGACGCTCCCCTTAACGTTTTACAGTTGAAAGTTTTAGTAGATTGAAATGCAAGGTTCCAAGGTTTAAATTCTATGCTTAAATTGAACTGTTTTACTGACGAATTTGAGAGTTATCTGATCTCAAACAAATTCTCAGACTGCATAAATATTTTATAAATCGAATTTTAGTAACTTAAACAGTTTATAATTATTTTTAATTATTAACAGATAAATAAACTGGTTTTCTAACAAACCTAGAAGATGTGCTGCGAATATTTTGGTAGCCATGATACCGGCGATGTTCCTGCGCTGGCTACCCAGCACCCCCCGCACCTTGACGGCGCCCCCACCCCCACACACGCTGTCGGGGGCCCCCACCCCCACAGAGAGGGGGTCGCTGTCGGGGGTCAGCCTCTGGGTGACTGAGGGACGCTCTTCTGCTCATAAAAAATGATGAAAATAATCTTTTACTCTGCAGTGTATACAAATGTACATTGGTGTACTGGATCTTGTGAATCCTGATTGTGTAAATTTTGTAATTGTGAAATTTGTGTTATAGTGGAAATTATGTAATTATGGAAGTCGTGTACTTGTGAAAGTGTGAAATTGTAAAATGTGTGTAATCGAGAAATTGTGAAATGTGTGTAATTGGGAAATTTGCATAATTGTGAATTTTGTGTAATTGTGAAATTTGTGTAATTATGCAATTTGTGTAATTGTGAAATTTGTGTGATTGCAAAATTTGTGTGACAGTGAAATTTGTGCAATTATGAAATTTGCGAAATTGTGAAATTGGTGTAATTATGAAATTCGTATAATTGTGAAAATTATAAATTCGTATAATTGTGAAATTCGTGTAAATCTGTGTAATTGTGACAATTGTGTAGGTGTTGATTTAGTGCAATTGTTAAATCTAGCGTAACTGTGCAGTTTCTGTAACTGTGAAATCTATATGATTGTGAAATTTGTGTATTTGTGCAATTTGTGTAATTGTGAAATTTGCGTAATTGTGAAATTTGTGTGATTGTAAAATTTGTGCAATTGTGAAATTTGTGTAATTGTAAAATTTGTGTAATTGTGAAATTTGTGTACTCGTGAAATTTGTGTACTCATGAAATTTGTATAATTGTGAAATTTGTGTAATTGTTAAGTTTGTGTAATTGTGAAATTTGTGTAATTGTGAAATTTATGTAGGTATAGCTATAATTTGTGTAATTGTGAAATTTGTTCATGTGTGACATTTGTATAATTCTGAAATTTGTGTAATTGTGAAATTTGTGAAATTGTGAAATTTATGTTTTAGTGAAATTTGTGTACGTTTTTTTGTAATTGTGAAATTTGTGTAATTTTGAAATTTGTGTTATTGTGAAATTTGTGTAATCGTGAACTTTACGTAATTGTGAAATTTGTGTAATTCCATTTGTAAATTCCCGAGCAAAATCAGTATTTCCGAGTTAGCCATTGTTACCTTGTATGACGTAAGCCATATTAAGTCAGTCTGCCTCCTTAGTCGTATTTCCTACTATAGATCCTCTACCTTTAGATCCTCGATCTTGTGATCGACACTTAGAATGTTTGCTAATCAACCATTTTGAAGAATTCAAACATTGCATGGAAACCCAATAACATATTTCATCTTTTGCGACCTAATCGTCACAAATTCAATTATTTTCATCAGATAGTGATGCAATTTATATCAATGCAGCTACACTTTAATAACATTCCACACCTCCATGTTTTGTGTTGCTTTCGTCGTCTGTTCTGGCAAGCCTCGACCGCAGAGACCTGCGGGAGCGCAGCCTTGCGTCCCTGTCCTGCTGCAGGCCACGGTGCTGCTGGGACACAAGCTCCGCCGCTAGGGCGCGGGTGCTCAGGGGGCTCACGTTAGCCCCAAACTGTCCGCTTTGGTTCCCTGAAGTGGGGTGAAAAGGGCATGGTATTTATGAGATGGAAAAGGTAGTAAGTTTTTGATTGGAAGGGTGAGGAGCAATTTTCAGTTTGCCCCAAGTTGTCCGCTTTGGCTACCTGAATCACAGTGGAATAGTGATAGTGTTAGAGAGGAAGAAAAGGTCTTCATTTTGAGAGGGGAAAAGAGTGACGTTGGTCCCGAACTGCACGATTTACTTGCATGTATGGTTGAAAATTGATGGTGGTAGTGAGGAAGAAACGGTGATAAGTTTGAGGGTGCAGCCGGTGGCCTCAAATTTAACTCTAAAAGGCGATGCTGGGGTGGAGAGGGTCATACTGTGGGTGGAGAGTCGTGTAGCTTTCATGAATAGGCTACGCGACTGGGGTGTAACCTCTTCACGACACGGAAAGGCGCATGCTGGGGTATAGCCTCCATGAAGACTACACTGGCTTGGGCAGTGGCTGAGGGCTTACGGCACCAGTGATTCTAAACACCTTCATAGGCACCTCTACCCGGCCAGTAAGTTGTTCAAAAAATCACCCTAAACGGTCATGCCGACTTTTTAAACGATGTGCCGCAATTTAAAAAATTTATCACTAGAAACCCGTACAACGTTTAGAAGAACGGCGAAACGGTTTATGTTCACATGGCAATCGGTCATTAGAACGCCAGTATGACCGTTTTTTCACGGTTTTTTCGAACATTGTAGTTGTGCACGGGAAGAAACATGAAAGTGATTTCGGGGTTGGGCAATGCCAGCCAATAACATGCATCTCGTAATTTTCAGAGTGGAAGAGATGAGAGTACTTGTTCGAGTGGGAAGCTAATGGTAGTTTTTGTGATGGAAATTTAAGAATTGGAAAAGTGTGCCCACTCTGGTTAAAAAATGCATGGTGCTGGCATCATGCAGGGATACGTTGAAACAGTAGGGATACGTTGAAAACGAGGAAATATAATTCACACAATGACAGCTAGATCTTTACGGATGAGATTTTAATGAGATAGAGAATCGAAAAATGACAACTTTCAGCGCTTGGATAGCGTGAAATCGAAAGGCGTAAAAATAATTTAACAGTAACGTCGTCTGTGAGCCGAGATGAAAATGAAACACCTCAAATATGAATGATGACAGTACCTCCATGAATGGAATGCAATTGCTGACCTGATTGGGTATAGTAAGCCACCACACTTACTGACCTGGTGGGGTGTAGTAAGATCCACACTTACTGACTTGCTGACCTGGTGGGGTGTAGTAAGCCACCACACTTGCTGACCTGGTGAGGTGTAGTAAGCCACCACACTTGCTGACCTGGTGGGGTGTAGTAAGCTACCACGGTTGTCTTGCCCGTAGCAGGGTTAACGGCTCTACCAACCCCGAAAAAACGGGTGTTCATCCACACCATCTGGCTGAACGGTCCTGCAAGCCAACGAAAGGCCGTGTTTTAAAAAAGTTTGTAACTCCGTCAACTAATCACTAGTTATTTTTCAAGCTACAACCTCCAACCACAAACGAAAAATCAGCCGCTACTTGTACTTAGGACGCTAGTATCCTTAGGCGAATTTGGAAGATAAAATCAAACGCTTCAATAGCAACAGCGTTACTGCCAGACAGGTAATAGCATTAAATAGCTTCATTATTACGGGAGTTCTGCTTCAATCACTGTTCCTTCTCAAGGGCGAACATTGAAGATTGGGTAATTAACTGTATTGAGAAGATACGTAGGCTCTAGATTCTAATGTCAACAGTCCACGGTATAGCAAATCCGACTCGTATCAGTTGTGGTCGAGAAAAGCGAGAGCCAGCCCGAAAAATGGACGAAAGATGAGGGGATAGCAAGAGAAAGGAATGAAGGGCAATTAGATAGCAGGGTACGAAAAGGTGACGTGAACAGAAAACAAGATATAAGAGGTGGGTATCAATAGAAAGTAAGAAGCACAAAATGGATATTTATTGAGGATCGATATTATCCAAGATTCGAAGATTAAAAAAGTATTAATAACAAACTGCTTAATTGGAATGCCATGGACGAGCGTTAAGGGTGCCACCTACCGGCGCAGGCGGCAAGTGCAGCGTCGCACCTGCTGAACTTGTAGTGGCGCACCGAGCTGTACCACGCGGCCGCCACCTCCTCCCCTGCAGTCATGCACATAATAGAATAAGGGATATAGATTAGGCCATTAAGACCGATGCCTATTCTAAATATCGCACAATTTTTCCCGCTTGCGGTGAATAGAATAGCGGCGTCAGTGTTTAACATTAGGCTGTCAGGACTGTCAGCGATTCAGCAGAATTTTCACGGCGGTCTCGAACACGCAACTCACTGCTCCAATCTGGCTTTTCTTAACCGTCCGGCCTCCTCGTCGAATATAACCTAAACTATAACAGGAAGCTGAGGTCGAACCCGCAACTCATTGCTTCGATTTAGGTTCTTTCAACTGTAATCAATAGGCCACCAAATCACCCATTTTTATCAACTATCTTTCAACTTACATTAACTAAACTAGAATATCAAATAATTTATCAGTGTTGATTATAACCGTGGTTGAAATTTGGAACTGATGATGGAGCTGACCTTCGTAATACCTTTCCATTCGGAGTATTAATTATCTGTATCTTATTTCTGAAAGAGACTTATAACATCACCCATCTTATCAACTCACATCAAACTATATGAACTTTACATGAAATATATGAAAACTATATGAACTTTACATTAGCTACATTAGATTATTATCTATAATATAAAAGACTGTCAGCTTGACCCAGCGTTGCTCAGGATTAATAAAGCTACGGCCAGACTAAAAGCGTTTACGCGTACGCTGGCTGACGCTTCAAGCAGAGCGGCGCCGCGCAACGCGTATAGTGGCCACACTAGACCCTGGACCGCGCAGCTTAGTGTATAAGTCTGTGTGTATAAATGAGTGTCAGCAAGAGACAACAAAGGCCGTAAGCTTTATGACCCGAAAACCGCACTTGATTTACCGTATATGTGACCGGTTTCGCAGGAGACTGGCTCAAGCTAATCTGGTCCTACGTCCACGAATGCCCCGGTCTCTCCGCCCTTTCTGTAGCCAATGACTAGCCCAACCCCTTCACTTGTTCATTCTTTCAACATTCCCGCAACCAATAAGGTTAGGTTGGCTCTGGTTTGTTATGATTAGGGTGTAAAGTCGGGGTAAGTGTGGAGGTAAGGCCATGCTGGGATTATACATTCGTGAAAATAAGAGGCAGCCCATTTCCCGTGAATTTTCCCACCTGATGGCGGGGGTGGCAGCCGACCCCTAACGCGCCTGTCGGTCCTGCAGAGGATGTTCTCTCCGAGGCGGGGGTGGGCGCGGTACCGGACCACCCCCGTGTGCGCCACTTCATTGGCCCACGACTGGGCCAACCAGCAGAGCTGATGCATAATGCATAGGAACGAATCATTATTTCAAATGGAGAATTAAGTGAACTTGTTTTTATGGTTTATCTTTATTACTTTGACCGATTGAATGCAGTAAAAGATTGTTATGGTTCAGAGCAAATGAATATAAAATTCTTAGATGAATTATAACACAAAATAAGCGTGCGGTTTTGCAGCGATATGAAGAAAATATGATCTGATTTTAGAGCCAACATGGAATAGCTAATATTAGGAGGATAGAACTCCAAGTGAAGGTAGACTTCATCAACTTGAAAACTATTCTATCAATAGATATTAGAATATTGATAGAAAGCTATGGGGGGCATGGGGCTGACCTGGGGATCAAGCACGAGAGGCGGCGACGAGTGTCGCAGGCGATAGAGGTTGTGAGCTGCAAGGCAGCGCTGGGTGAACAAAGACGGTTGCCATCTGACACCAGCTGACGGGTCTGATGGAACCATCTCTAGCCGGCTGACACCAGCTGACGGGTCTGATGGAACCACCTCTAGCCGGCTGACACCTGCTGACGAATCTGGTGAGGAAATCTCTTCATCCGAAGCGATTTCTGCATTGGTAAGGATTTCTCCTGCTCCAGTACCTGTTTCATCTCCTCCGAATATGAATTTCCTGTTTCCGGTAATGATTTCTTCTTTTTCGGGAGTGTTTGCATTGTTTCCAAAAGAGGTTTCCCCGTTTTCTTGGCGGTTAAGTACAAACGCCACTTTGTTTCTTTGTACATTAGAGTCAGAAAAAATTTTGTCCCTGAGAAGAATGTTATTTCCAGCTGGGGTACAAGATGACTTTTGAATAGTTCCCCCTGGATCCAAAGCCGTGCCCTCTGACTCTAGCGCCGTGTTCCCTGATTTTAGGCTAGTGCCCCCTGACTCTAGGGCCGTGTCCCCTGATTCTAGCGTCTTGTCCCTCGACGCTAGAGCGGTGCCCCCTAACACTAAAATGGAACCTTCTGAAGTTCTTCTCTCTTCACCTGCCCCTGACTTAGTTTCTGCCATAGAGACATTATCTTTATTGTTTAGTTTACGAGCGTTTGACATTTTCTCATCACCCTCGCAGTCACTGGCAACGCCCTTGCTGGCAATTGCTTCCGACTTGCTGACACTAGTGTGACCGCTGCTGTCACTCGCGTCCCTCTTGCTGACACTCGCATCCCGGTTGCTGTCACTCACATTAATCTTGCTGACATTACTATCCCCTTTTAGGACACTCGATCTCCTTCTTAAGGATAGCGCCTCGGGCCTCAGAGACACGAAGTCTTCGTCGTTCATCGAAAGAAAATCGAAGCTGTTCACTGCAGCGTCAAATACTTGGGTACGGTTGACAGCAGGACGCTGGGCGATGATCTGGAAACCAGGCGTAAAAAGTATATTCTTATTAGTTTAAAGATAAAACCGTGAACCTTTTCTCCATACAGAAATTAAAAAGTTCGAATATATTTCTTTTAAGCGGGAAATATGATCAAAATAATCTCTTATATTAATGAGAATATTTGTGCAAACAATACACATACAAAAGAAGGTTTTTAATTAAAATACAAAGTTTTTAAAATTTGTGGCAGTGTTCTACCTCCGTTTGGAGTTGAAATGATTTCATAATGAAAAATTTTTCTTAATATAACGAAATGAATTTGTTTCAATTTGAATTTTTAATACAATCGAAAGATATGACAATGATTATTGTTAGTCTCAATAATATAGCTAAAGATATATTATTGTATTTATTGATAAACTGTACTATAATGAATTTTTGTGTTTAGAATCTTATTTATTTGTACCGTTAAAGAAAATTAAAGCCGTAAGTTACGTTAATGAAAATTTAAACTCTAAGTTTTTAGACTACTGGCATTGAAATAATTTGATATGACTCAGTGGGTGATATGCAGTGGGTATTAGTAGATATGTAATTTATTTATTTTTCAATTCGCCATTTAGGTGTGCTTGAAATCAAACATTGTCACCTTAAACAAACATCCTGCATGCATTGAACTACATTCATTCACAAACTTTTTTTGGTAATTTTCTTGGCTTTCCAGTCACTTTCAAGTTTTCATTTACTGTACATTTCCATTTCAGTAGATTGTGCTCAGGAAAATAGTACCATGGATAAATATACACGGAAACTTGCGGGTTCACAGATACACGTGTTAATACGGCATGGAATTTATCTATATATTTTTAATATTTAATGAAAATAGTAATAATATTAATAATAATGATAATAATAATAATTATTATTGCCATTATAGTAATAATAAGTCTCTTCGGTCGTATTGCATGCGATAATAAGATAAGGAACTATCTAATTCGAGCTTGATATGTTAACATTAGATAAACTAATCAGATGTAAACACAGCGACGGTTACATCTGATATTAAAACTGGGGATTAAATACCGCAAAATCATTAATCAATTAACAAGCATCTAATTAAGAATTCATTCACAAGCTTCAATTCATTCAATTAAATTCAGCTAATTACCTTGCAGAGAACCTTCTGTCGCGCCCCCTCCTCGGGTGGGGGTTCCCTCACCCTCAGGTGTTCGGGGGGCAGAGGGGGGTCAGGAAAATGGTACTTGTATATAAACGAGGGGAGTTTAGAGTAGGGGTCAGTGGGGGATGGTGGGGAGGCGGGGAAACCGGAGAACTTGGGTAGAACAAGTAGGGGAAGAGCGCACGCTTGCCCCACGCTTGGGGACCGGGCTTTGGGGCTAGGGGTGGCCGCGGCGGGGGGGATTTCTACCAGCTTCAAGCGTGGGGAACCCATGGGGGAAGTTTTTTCAACCTTCTTTCGTGGGGAAAGTGCTGGGGAAATTTCCTGTGGCTTCAACTGTGGGGACATTGCAGGAGGAGGAACAGGAGATGGGGAAGGATCCGGGGAAGGTTCAGAGGCTGCCATGGGGCTATCAACAGACAAAGAGGAAGAAGGAGCATCAACAAGCAATCGGGAAGGTTCCATTATCCCTGTTTTTGTCTCTGAAGAAACATTTTCGTCTGTTGAATTCGCTGTTGATTCCGACGAATCATAGTCAGATTTGCACGTAGTTGAATTAGGTCTCGTAATTGCATGTGTTGACTTCACAACACGATCTCCCACATCGGCTATTGCACCATCGTCAGGTAAAACTGTTGATTTTGGTCCAGCATTTTCAGCGTTGGCTTGCAGCGTTGGACAGCGTTCGACCTTCGGAGAATTTTTGTCAGAAACTCTACTAACGTCACCAACTTCACTAACGTTTGCACCACTTCCAACGTTTGGGACTGCGTGAACATTGACGAATTTTGTAACGTTTGTAACTCCCACAACGTTTGCGTCATTTCCACCACTTACAAAATTTTCTACGTTTGCAACGTTTGCATCGTTGGCATTAGTAACGTTTTCTACGTTAGCAAAGTTGCGGGGGTCGGAATTAGCAACATTTTCGACGTTCATAACGTTGTCAGTGTTGACATTCGCAACGTTTTCAACGTTCGCAACGCTGCCAGTCTTGGATTTTGCATCGTTTTCAACGTTCGCAACGTTGCAAGTCTTGGCATTCATAACGTTCTCAACGTTGCCAGTGTTGACATTAGCATCATCAACGTTCGCAACGTTGGTAACGTTAACGCTGGAGTCCTGGTGATAAAGAAGACGCATCTGTTGCATTTGTTTGAGCCTCTGTTGCCTGTGCAGCTGTTGCTGCTGCAGCTGCAGCTTCTTGACGAGACGTTTGTGCTGCCGCAGCGCAGCGAACGACACGGGCCGGGCGAAGACCTGACCCTTCTCCCTGTACAGCAGGCGAGACAGACGCTCCCGCCTGTCGTGGGGGTTGCGTACGAATAACATTACAGAAGAATATACGTAGGAATAAGATTACGTAAGAATGTACGTACCAATAACATTATGTAAGAATATTTCATCCGTGGTTCCGTAAGAATAACATTGTGTAAGAATATACGTAGGAATAAGATTACGTAAGAATGTACGTAGGAATAAAATTACGTAAGACTATTTCATCGGTGGTTCCGTAAGAATAAGAATATGTAGGAATATATCAAGGGTGGTTCCGTAAAAATAACATTACGTAAGAATATAAAATATTAACTAATAGTTCGTAATGATAACGTATCTAAAGCGTTGCCGCGCGGTGCGGTAGGAATAACACAAGGTTGGCAGAATGTCCGGTAAACATCAGAAATGTGAATATACACGTAATATAAAATAATAATCATATATCTATATATAAAAGAGCATACGCAGCGATAATGTGTCTGCTAGAGCGATAATATAAGATATATTAATAACGTGTCTGAATTTTATTATTAATTTTGTTATTATAGCGATGATATGAGATATAATAATAATAATGACGTGTCTAAATTTAATTATCAATTTTATATTAATATTCATTTATTTTTAAATTTTCTAGCGCATGGAAAGTGTTAGGACAAACGCTGCGTGTACACGCAACACTTCACTCAAATTAAGGCAAATGTTACATGGGAAGAGGGGGAGGAGGGAGGAGACCAAACCAGGGGGAGGGGGGTCCTGCATAAGAAATTAAATCCCCCCCCACCCCATACCGGCCCCCCGACACCTCCCCATGCCGGGTTAGCGGGAAGTGCGGCCATGTTTGGGACAAAATCCAAGTATTTTTTCTGAGCGTAGGTAGTCGTGTAGGGGGGTTATATATATATCGTCTTTGGGGGGGGAGAAAGTGGGTCAAAGAGGGGGAGACAAATGTGGGTCAAAGAGGGGGGAGGTAAAGGTAGGTCAAAGGGGGGAGTCAAACTGGCTATTTTTTTCATATTTTCAATTACTAAAGCATACTTTCCAAAAGCAAAAGTGGGTCAAAGCAAAAGTGGGTCAAAGCAAAAGTGGGTCAAAGCAAAAGTGGGTCAAAGCATAAGTGGGTCAAAGGGTGGGGAGGCAAAGGTAGGTCACGGGGGGTCAAGATGTCCTCCTTCTTCCAGGACAGGCGCAGTACACCCCATTTAACCCCCTCCCGCGCCCCCCTATCCTGGGGGTCGATATCATGTCTCCTTGGCCCCCCTCGCTGGGCCCAATTAGTGGCCCACTGTATGGCAACACTGCTGCCCCCCACCCCCCCTCCAACACCCCCACTCATCAATGGGGTATGGATATATATATATAAATATGGTTAATATATATGGAGCATATATATTAACCATGTAATCCCATCGTAGTTGTAGCATATAATTTAGTTTTAAATGTAAATATATGGGTTTTATATAAATATAGGTTCTGCCTTCATTTAGACTTATAATAATTTTATTATACAAATTTTTTCTTGATGAAATAAAATTAATTCATTTTATTTTGAATTTTTATTATTATCCAATGATCTATCTTATTTATTTATATTATTTATATTGATATTATTTATATTAACACAATCCTTGTAAGGAGGGCGGAACCAAACTGCGCGTGTTGCATGTGTGTAATTTTAGTGCGGAATTTCATTACTATTTTAGATTATGATGATAATAATTATCATAATCCGAATTAAAGTTAATAATATATATTAATATAATAACGTTAATAAATGTGAATATAATAATCAAGGAAATTTAGTGTTAACTTCAATAAAGATAACTAAAACTGATTAATTAAATAACAGAAATCTTTGCATAAGCCTGCAAACAAGCTCTCTGCTGCCCCACCACCTGCTGCCCCACCACCTGCTGCCCCACCACCTGCTGCCCCACCACCACCTGCTGCCCCACCACCTGCTGNGAGGCAAGAAAGTGGCAATTAGTGGTAGGAAATAGAGGGAAGAAAAAGGCAATTAGTGGTAAGAAATAGAGGCAAGAAAGTGGCAATTAGTGGTAGGAAATAGTGGCAAGAAAAAGGCAATTAGTGGTAAGAAATAGAGGCAAGAAAAAGGCAATTAGTGGTAGGAAATAGTGGCAAGAAAAAGGCAATTAGTGGTAAGAAATAGAGGCAAGAAAAAGGCAATTAGTGGTAAGAAATAGAAGCAAGAAAGTGGCAATTAGTGGTAAGAAATAGAAGCAAGAAAGTGGCAATTAGTGGTATGAAATAGTGGCAAGAAAAAGGCAATTAGTGGTAAGAAATAGAGGCAAGAAAGTGGCAATTAGCGGCAAGAAAAAGTGGCAAGAAAGTGGCAATTAGTGGTAAGAAACAATGGCAAGAAAGTGGCAATTAGCGGTAAGAAATAGAGGCAAGAAATAGTGGTAAAAAGTAAAGACATGAAATGAAAATCCGAAAAAAGTATAACATGTACAAAAATATTAATTTTTGAATTGAAAAACATTATACAAATATATATTGTAGTCGACGGTCAAGACAACGAACAGTAAGATCAATGACGAAGAAACTTGACTTGATCAAAATTAAGACAACAAGAACAACCAACGTGAAAACAGAAAAAATGAAACGATTGAAGTTAATTGCACTTGTTGGGGGATATTCGTATGATTATATGCCTCTTGTTTTTCTGCATTGACGGCAAATTGAATAAAATTCTGTGCAAAAACGAGGAAAATATTTCTTTGTGAGCAAAAGTTTTTGTAGACTAAAATAAAGTGGTTAAAGATTAACGTTTTCATAAACGTAGTAATGTCTCTTGAAGAGGAATTGACCAGCTTCACATTACGTTCAAAATTCGATAGCACTTATCTAATTAAATGTTTTATTTTTCTTCATAAACTCTTCATCGAGGTAATATATAGGAACATTTGATGTGTACTAAGGCCTACCTGAAATTGGGAAAATTGACGAATTAATTGTGGCTTGCCGCATCATCTGCTCCTTCATTTGCACAGACAGAGGCGTTTTGGTGTCCACGCCGACCTTTCCGTTGGAAGAAAAGTTGCTTGATTCATCCACTTTGATGACGATAACCCGACCGTTCGGTAAAGTGATAGGTTCACTTTCAGTAACCACACGGCTCGAATTAATTGCTGTGTGTTGGTTGTTACTGACAGCTAATCCTAATATGGTTCTTTCTAGCTCATTGCTGGCACTCAGCCCAGCTTCTGCCGAGAGGTATGAAACTCCGGAGCCATCGCGTTGAAACGTGGTATCGTCAACTTTGACAGGCCCACAAAACACCTTTCTTGTTGATAAACTGCGAACACTCCGAGGTAGTATAAGGGTTGGACTTGTTTTGTTACTGGGGTCTGCTCTATTGATAACTGATAACGATTTGGTAAGCTGTTTTTTATTATTAACCAACGACGCGTTGTGATTCAAGTCTAATCTAAGACTAGGAGGATAATTCCGCCCGTTGCGCAATGACATTGTCTTTCTTGTAGCAAACTCATCTTTTTTACTGCAAACAACGTCAGTGGTTTTCGCCAAGTGAACTCCTGTTTCACATGAATCCCTTTTGAGCTTAACGGGTAATAATTGATGTCCTTCACTGATAGAAGATTCACTGTCGGTTTCAGAAGACTCTTCTTCGTCATCTGAATCACTGCTTTGTATGTCTTGCCCATTTTCGACACTACCATCACTATCATCTTCATCCTTGTCGAGTTCACCCTCAAGATAGTCATCTTCTTCTTCTCGATTCCCTTCCTCAGAATCTGTATCGCTCGAAACACTTGACGTCTCTTCACCTTCATCGTCAGGAGCATCCCGATGTTCTAGTTTCTCGAGAGGACTTTCATAGTGGGTTTCCAAAACCTTAAGTCGTCGAGAACCCCTCATTGGTGGGGTTTCTTCCAGGTCGGAAGCAGTTATCATAGATGCGAAATTGCTCTCAGATAGTAATGCTGTTTCTTCGTGGTCTGTTTTAATGCCAAAACGGCGTTTCAATTTTTCGGTGGTCGAAAGAGGCTTCTCGAGTACTAAGGAAGATCGGATTTTAGGTATGCTTGCGGGAATGCCACTATTCCTTCTTCTGTGCATTGTCTTCTCAGGTCGTGAGTGTATTGGTATTCCCAATAAATGGGAATCTGCATCAGTCTGGACAATTATTGGCGAATCTGACCGGCCACTTAGACATGGATCGACCACATCGAGACTTGATGAATCATCAGATGTAAAGTTGGTGAATTTGTTTGATGCGTCGTACTCTCTACTGGAGCTTACAGACCAAATCTCGATGGGTGGTTCACCATCTTGCGAGTCCACAAGAGATGGTCGATTTTTTGCTGTCTCTTTCACGCAACTAAGTTCTATTGAGGATAGTTTATCATCGGCTATGCTATTGATATGTTCTTGGACGGAAAAATCTGAATCTTGTCTACCATAACAGGACAAACACAGAGATCTTAAACGATCTCTTGACCTAACAGGACTAGGGTAAGAAGCGTTGAAATTCTGCGGTGAACACCGCGCAGATTCTGTAGTCGATCTAAAGCAGACAACATTCAACAACGAGGACAACCTTGAACGGAATGTATGAGTTAGTTTATCACTACCCTCCCTAAACCTAATCACTGTGACATCATCATTGCTGGAATCGACGTTTTGGAGAACACGTCGAGGCTGAAGGCTACTGGGAGAACGCAAATGGGAATCTGAGTAGCCTATGCGGAATATTTGAGAAGGGGACAAAGTTTCTGTAAACACAGACACATCGTTGACACTCGTAGGGAAATTTTCACTAGGCCCTGTAACAATGCAATGCAGGCTATCATGAGATTCATCACCTTCTTCGTCGCAGGAAGAGATTGTCACTGTGGGACTTGAGCTCTCTGAAGATTTCTGTGGCTCCGTTTCTGCTATTTCATTAGAACCAATACCATTTGTGGGTCCTGTAATGCAAGTTATGATAGAAGACGAGCTTTTCCTGTGACTAACATTGCTCTCACTGTCGAGTGGTAATGACTGTTCACGTGTGGCACTTTCAATCGAAATTATTTCTGCTTCAAAGTTGGACACAGATAGAATCAAGTCATTGGACGTCGTCTTCTCCTCGAAGGCTGGAACAGGAGATTCGAGTGTCCTTTCTTCCATTTTGAGTACTTGATCAGCCGGACTGGAATCATCTTTACCTTCAATATTAACAAAATCTGTTGTTAAAGCATTGGAATGGTGACACGGTGGAAAGCTGGAATGGATTTGAGAATTTTTTGTGAGATATGACTTACGTCTACCAAATGCAGAATCAAACGAGGTGCAAGTTAAGTGGTCAATGCACGAGAATCGGTGAGCAATTTCATCATATTGTTCTGGAGACGTGCAACATGGATCATAAGATGGGCCACCCGAAAGTGATCTTGAGGCTTTCTGAACCTTCTTCGAAGTTTTATTCTGCCATGAGGCATCATCAGCAACGTGCCTGAATACATCCGATGAGGTTTTATGAACAGAATTTAGCGGCTGTAGTTGGCGATTTTTCTCATTGGTTGAATTAGCTCCTCGTAAGAAATCTAGAGAAAAACTGAGCTCTGTTAACGGTGACTTGGAAGATAAGGTTGACCTATCTAAAAACGAGTGTTTTCGGCTTTGTGAAGAATGTGACAAATCCTGTGTCACCGTCGGGGGTAAGGGAGAAGTTGAATCAGACGATAGAGACGCCGAAAAGTTCCAATTAGATGAAGAGGTTAGGGGCTGGCCAGATGGCGATGAAAGGTGCGAAGAAAAAGAAGCCGGACCAGATGAAAGAAAGGACGAATTAAATGATGGGTACTGTGAGGATCCGTCTAAACTGAGTTTATTTTCGCCACTAATGTCAGCCTTCTGGCGTTCGTCAGAATCTAACGAAATCGAAACTAAGGAAAAAGCTTCGTTCCCTAAACTTGCTACGTAATTGGTGGCCGGTTCATGCTCAGTTGAAGCTGTCCGAGAAGACGAACTTGCATCTGACGATCTGATTAGTGCCCAGAACAATGCCTGTTGTCGGATAGTCGATATGAGCGGAGGATGGTCGGATGTAGGAGTAGGCGGAGGTGGAACAATTTGTGGGTGTGTTTTTCTAGAGGATTTTCCAAATTGAGACTCGTGTGTTAGTAGTGTTTGGGTTGCTGACGATCTTGATAAAACTTTCCTTTGCTTCTTCCTGGTCCTTTCAAAGGCATTTAAGAAATCGTCACCAAAAACTGGATCGTTTGATGACTCAGCACATGTGATGTACACATCACTGTTGAAAGTGTTTCCGTTATTAGATTCGTAAGAAGATTGAATACTCTTCGCGACTCCATGTTTTGCAGGGCTAAGTCTCAAATTGGAAGAAATCAGATTTTCACCACTTATGTTATTATTAGTTGGAGAAATTTTGTGATGATTGATTGGCTTTTCATCAATTGATCTAATTGGAGTTTGAGGGATATTTGTTGGTGTCAGACTTTCATCAATACATTTTTCTTTCTTCAATTTCCGGCAGGCTCGGAGTTGTGACGCACTCGAACTTCGTCTTCCATGGCGTTCCTGGGCATGGTGAGATGGCGTCGACGGATGTCCCAGTAAATTTTCGTCTGAAGAACTGTACGAAAAAGTTTTAATTTGGGATTTGTTCGTTGGTTTCCTGTTTCTTTTCCTCCCCGTAGGACGTTGCCTACTAACATTTTTGTCATCTTGAGGTTCAGATTTGATATGATGAGCGTCGCTAGAAACAAATTGGGGGAGTTCATGCAGAGATATGTGCGCGCTATGTCTGTTCTTGCGAGTCTCAAAATCACCACTATTCGAATGTATAATTATTCTTGGCTGTTTTTTTACGGTACGAAGTGTATCGAAATTTTTGTTCTCGTGCTTATTATCATCATAAAATGTTGTATATTTCAAAGAAGAAGTGGCACTTTCAAAGCCTGCTATTTCATGAACTCGGAGTCCACTGCGACGAACTGAAGGAAAAGAAGTTGGAAAACTGCTTGCTTTTCTTCCTTGAAAGTCATGGTACCTTTTGATTTTTTCCGTACGGGACAAGTCATTGTTTTTTCCGGTGGATCGTGAACTTCGATCAGCATAACAAACTCTTTCATTGTTATTATTTAACTTGGTCGTGAGCAAAATATTGGAATTTGCATTTGTGCGTTTCTTACTTGAGTTGTGTAGAAGTGGCCGCACATTTACCGGATCTGGACCACTAATTGAAATTAATGGAAGTTGGGCTGTAAAATTTGGTTTTCTGTTCAATTGTGCATTTTTTGAACTTAAAGGCGATGATTCAGTAATTTCAAATTTATCGTTAAATTTGGTGCCTGGTTCTTCTACTGATTCACTAGTGCGTAATGCATGACTTTTTCCAGAATCTGTTTGGGGAGTTATTCCTTCACCCGAATCAATTGTTGACTTTACAGAATTGTAGATATTGTCTTCACAGCTGCTTGATTGTTGATTGCTTCCACCGACTCGAACAGCGATGAAAGTTTTCTCGGAATCATTGTGCGTTTTTTGGAGAGATTCTACACGAACTGGGGAGTCACATTCACGGGAAAATTTTGTCCAACTGGTTGATTGATATCTTGTGTCCCACTTTCTTCCTATTGCTCCTTTTGAAAATCCTAAGTTCCCATTTTCGGTAGAAGAATATTTCTTTGTGGAATGATGATCCTGAGATGTTAATAAATTGTCGTTTACAGATAAAGTTTGCCATTTAATCTGAAATTCCGATGTATCTTGATCAGCGTTTGATTTAAACAAGGTTGAATTGTCATCTGACTGTAAAGATTGGGATGGAATTCGATGTTCAGTAGTTGGAGGGCTTCCGGAGTAATAAAATTTTTCGTGCCTGGGTATTGGCTGTACTATCTCATTAATTGGGAATACAGGGTCAGAAAAATTTTCTATTTGCGAGGCGAACAAATTTGAATTTTCTGGAAAACGTTTATATTTCGCGATGGCTTGAGATTCAGGTTCAGGCAAGCTTTCTGTTTCTAGGACGAACGAAGGTGAAGCTTTATTAACAGGCGGACTTTCAGTGGTGATTGGAGCTTTGAAGTCGTGCGGGTTTTCAAGGGTTGAGACTTTACAGACGAGGTTGTCGTGAACAGACGAAGACGAGCTCAAGGTTTGAGGAGAGGTAACAGAATCCTGTTGGAAATCACGAGAGGATTAGGCGTAATGTATGATACAAATCATGGTTGGAGATGTTCACTGAGCGATATTCTGTACAAAGAACGTGAAATAATTGGTTAGAAAATAGGATGCAACTCATGGATTAAGGCCGGGTTCACACCATACCGCCGGCTACGTGTGAGGCATACACCGGTCACGGTCCAGTCCATTGTTCTTCAACGGGTTGAGTGCGGGACAACCCACCTGTAGGTCGGAGGGTCTTTTTTCCGGACTAAATTCGCGACTTAGTTTATTTAATTGCGTCGTTCGGCAAAAATTTATAATGACGGTAATTCCTTATTAAATTTTGAGAAGTACGGATAAAATAAAAATTTAGTTTGTGCCCCGAACCTACAAATTTACTCGTATCTAGTGAATTATAAGACATTTTTGTCCGCGGACTTGGCCGTTTTTTGGCCATCCGGCAACCCTGGTGTTTCGTGATGCACTCAACGTGTTAATGCATTTCTATAGAAGCATCCACACCATGGACATAACAGGTGACTAGCACGGCTGGTGTGAATGCATGTGCCTGACTCATGCCCGGCAGTAGGGTGTGAACCCGGCCAAAATTCAAGCATAATCCTGTGTAAAACAAATAAGGATTATTCACGTGAAAAATGAACGCACGTTGAAACTGTAATCTGGGGGATGAACAGATTAATTAACCATTCACATGCACGTCATGGGTACTTCGAAATAAATTTTTGAATTACTTCCGTTAAGGAAATAGCAAAAAA